GCAGTCTGAGGCTTCTCAGCTCAGCACAGCCACGGCTCCCATGCCCAACCTCCCATCTGGATGCTGAAGTGTCTCCATCTCTTTACTTTCTTCTAGACTATCTTTCTCAAAAGCCCAATCTGGCCCTTCCACAGCTCTCAACTGCTTTCAGGACAAGTTCAAAATCCTTACTGCGACAGTCACAGCAGGCTCCAAGTTCTGGGCTTGCTTCTGCCTTACCTATCCAACACCCCCAGGCCACACTGTCCCCAACTCCACATGGCCATCTTGCCGCCTTGCACATACAGCTCACCTGCACCACCTGCCCGTTGACCCCATTCTCATAGAACAGTGTCCAGAACTGACATAAAGTATGACTCAGGGACATAAGAGGCCAACAAACGACGACTCGACAGAGTGGAGCCAGAGAAGTAAGAAAGGGCGGCCGGGCGCGGTGGCTCAAGCCTGTAATCCCAGCACTTTGGGAGGCCGAGGCAGGCGGATCACGAGGTCAGGAAATCGAGACCATCCTGGCTAACACGGTGAAACCCCGTCTCTACTACAAAAATGCAAAAAAACTAGCCGGGCGAGGTGGCGGGCACCTGTAGTCCCAGCTACTCGGGAGGCTGAGGCAGGAGAATGGCGTAAACCCGGGAGGCGGAGCTTGCAGTGAGCAGAGATCCGGCCACTGCACTACAGCCTGGGCGACACAGCGAGACTCCATCTCAAAAAAAAAAAAAAAAGAAAAGAAAAGGGCATGAATGCACCTCCCTGAGCCATGGGATTCTTCAGAGTCGGTAAAGGATATTTCCAGAAATCCAGTCTCATCCATGTGACTTCCTGATGACACACACACTGGCCCTTGTGACCCGATCGCCAACAGGGGTAAGATCTGTGTACCCATCAGTCCTTTAACTTGTACAATGGATCGGACCAGCCCAAAGTGTTCTTTAATCACCAGGTGGCATCTCAGTCGTGTGAAGGTCCTCGTTTGTAGGAATGCCTGGTGAAGGGAGGGAACTTAGTCTCAAATGATTCAGGGAAAGAGTCATCCTGCAAGTTCTAATGTCTGTATGTTGTCTCCACTCTATATGTTCCTTCCTGAGGAATCATCTCGTGTCATGTATTACTTTAGGGTTGGTGAAGTACAGGCTTCAGATGCTCTTAAAATGTTCTTAAGAACCAGATTTCGACTTCACCATGGATTTCCTTGGTGTGGGGTTTGCCTGTTCCATCTTTAGCATGCCAGTTCTTATTCTATGTCTCTGTCATTCATAGACGGTCTCAAGAAAGGGGCACAGAAAATTTTGTTAAAAGGAAGCTAAATACCCAGGTTGTACTCCATCAATAAAATCATTTCTCTGAAGAGTCCAATTCTGATTTGCTATCACATATGTTTTCCTAAAAATATCACCTGTAAAAATACCAGCTGTAACAACAGCTGGCAAGTAGTTACTCTTTTTTCAGAGGCTTGGGTTTTTAAGAGTCAAAGCAAATACACTCAAACATGTTGTCACTTCTCCTTCCCCACTGACAGCGACATTAGCAGGCAGCCAGCAGTGCAGACAACACACCTCTTTGCCTTCCAGCTTACCAAGGGGATGCGCAGGTCCCTGCATATGCCCCTCCTTACAGAGAGGGCTCCCCATGGTCTTAGCAGGAGGTGGGAATGGCCTGGAGAACAGCCCCCTGGGTAGAATGCCTGAGGACCACCGTCTTTCTTTGGTCATAAACTTTTAGAAGACCCTGACATGTCTTCCTCAGGAAAGGTATTGTGAAGTCCTTAAGAATAACTTTTTTAAAAAGGTAACTCCAATTGGATAATTGAAAAATTAGTTGGTTGAGGTTTTTGGACTCTACGGGGAAAATAAAGAGATGGAGGATAGGATGTTGAGTCTAAGAGGTTTGTTTTTAACACTGGAGTAATTTCCTGTTTCCAGGTTAACATGCAGGTAGCTCTCAGTCACTGCTGAGTAATTTAAGATGGAAAACTCAGTGAGCCTACTCAAGAGAAAACATTCCTGTGTTAGATTAGGTTGCACACAAAAAAGCTTTATTGTCTCACTGGACTCTAAACTCCATGTTCATTGTTTTGATGAACAGGACCACACCCCGAGGTTGGCCTGGAGAAGGTAAAGAAATCAGATCTAGAAAGAGCTGAGGGGAGGCAGATTGGACCCAAAGTTAACACCTATGACCAGGAGACTCCAGAGAAAAATGAAAGTGCTCCTCATAAAGGGTCAACGAGAACACCAGAGTCAAAACCCAGATTCAGTCACTTAACAGAAAGAAGAGACAGGCAGGCGGACTGGCAACTCGCTCGGGAACGTCTCACTATCAAGGAAAAAACTGTAACACCCAATTAATAATTTATCTTTTATTGAAATTGCTGAATACTTTATATTACAGTAAAGTTGATTGAAAAAATGAAGAGAAAAATCAATTTTAAAAAATACACTCATGTTGAAATCAAACAAGCCAGCCAAACCGGCACAGGCTGAGGGATGCTGCAGGGCGGTTTGCTTCTCAGCAATAGAACACCAGAGTCTATATACAATTCTACAATGCGAGAAAAGTCATCCACTAAATATGGCAGAAAAGGCGCTGCCGCCAGAATAAGAACGCGAGCAGCGCATCCCTCCTCCTCCACGCCGTGCCCACCCGGCCTCCCTCCAGCATGAGGCCAAGTGCAACGCTAGGCCCGAGGCTCTGGCCCGTGATTTTTCATGCAGTTTCTGTAAGTCACACACTGTGCAAATTAAGGCTTCTTATAGGTCGAATGGTTGATCAACACTTTTTTCTTAAAAAAATAAGCACAGTAAAGGTGGTATCATGAGAACCTGAAGAGATGAGACCTACACCCCAAATCTGGAAAAGTTCATTTTCTCTGACACCTCAACTCTACTCAAACACACACACACACAAACACACAAATCAATCTTTGGGCAGGCTGTTTGAATTCACCAGCCGGTGAAAGAAATACTGACAAATGTGCTCTGTACGCCCAGGCTTGAAGATGTCATGCAAAAAGCTGCAGCCATTCCTGACTAAAGGCATGGAACAGGCGCACTCTCCAAAACCTAGGCACTCAGGGACCCTGTGCACGTATGTGTGTGTGTGCGCGCACGCACGTGTGTGCCCTTAAGAAACAGAAAGCGAAAGAGAAAAGAGACAGAATGAGCTGCAACTCAGGGGACACACCAATGACCAGTTCAAAATCCCACCGGAAACTGTCCCTCGCCGTCTCAGGATGGACAAACCGGTGCATTACACCCCTGCCGGCAGGAAGAAACGGTGGCTGTTTTCTTTTTTTCCTTTTTCTCAAACCTGAGTAATTGTCAAAGTCAATAAATAGGGGGAGAGAATTAAAATGCTAAAATATACTGGGGTCAAACACCCTATTGGGCCTAAAGCAGCAAGGGTTTCTTAGAATGCAGCCCTCTGTTTTGAGATGCGTCTGGTCTTACATTTTTAAATGAGGACTTGGGGTAAAACCCTGGGCACAGGGTACCGCCCTGTGGCGGATCTGAGCCACGCCTTATTCCAATGACTGTAAACAATGAGGAAGGAGTGGGGCCTGACCTCCTTCACCCTCTCCCCCATCACGAAAACTCTTCCCTTTTGAAAGTTTTTGTTAAAGGCAAAATTATAGAAGCATCATTGAGTGGAAGTCTTATTTGGTTGGAGGTGCTTGGCTGTCCCGCGGCTCCGTGCTCCCCTGCAGGCACTGCGGAGTCAGATGTGTAAGAGGTCCTCGTCGCTGTCGTCATGGAAGGACACCAGCTTGGTGGAGCTCACTGTCTTCTGCTGTGCAGACCTGGACTTCCCTTTCCTCGCCTTCTCACCCCTGACCAGCCCTGCCCTATCGTCCTCACGCTCCTGAAGGGCGCTGCTCTGTGGGTTTCTCACCGGGTGGGAGCTCTCTGCCCCAGCTCCCCTGCCCGAGTGAACTTTCACCTCTGGGATGGTCAGAACCTCATCCTCACTGTCCTGGTCATCCCCATGCAGGGAGCTGAGGGCTTTCACAGACTTGGTGGTAATATGGCCGTTCTCCTGCCCTTCCTTTCCCTGCCGTGGAGAAGGCAGCTGGATCTCTTCCATCAGCCACTCTGTTTCGTTCTCATCTGTCTCTTCTTCCTTGTTCACCTGCCAGGGATCAATAGCAGAGACCACGTGAGCCCCCTCAGAGACCCCATTCTGCTCCACCATCCACCCTATCAGGGATGCCCTCTGCTGGCACGAGCTGGGGAAGAACTGGCCCACTGTCCTCCCCGTCACTGCGTCTCCAGTTCGCAGGGAAAGGAAGACCAGGGCTGGCAACACCTTCCTGTTCCTAATGAGACTGCACCAAGGCAGGAGGGTTTGGGAGGGTGACAGTGGGGCCATTTGGCAGGAGTCTCACAGCCAAGGGTGGGGCCAAGCAGAAGGCGTTCAGGATGGCCTGGACCCGAAAAGGAGACCAGTGACCCACCAGCTGCGCTGGGGGAGAAGGGGCTCTTCGGGGTTACTCATCGACTGAAAGGTCCCCCCTGCCTGGCAGCGGAGGAAAGTCAAAGGAGGGACTTGAGTCAAAAGCCTAGTTTTAGAAAGTGATTCATCATCACCCATTGAGACCACAAACATTATGTCCTTTGATCCAGACAATGCCTCTTTTCTGGAAATTTATCTGAAAGACATCATCCAAATGCTAGATGCACAACTATCTTCACTACCGTGTGTGTGTGTTTTTAAAGAACAGCCAAAAACAGTGGAAACAACCTAAATATTAAATACTTCAAAGAAATCAGTTGTAACCACGAGAGAAACTTGAGGGGAAAAAAATTTAAAAAAAAAATGTGCTGGGATAAGCGGCTGAGGCAACGGGTGCCGTTTCCCTTCCGGATTCCAGTCTGCCTGTGACTGCTGTCCTCGGCATCCCTGGTGAGAACGGCAGGGACAGTGCAGCACGCGCGGGCCGGGGAGGCAGGCCCTCAAGAGACTCGCCACAGAAAATTACCTTTGAGTATTTGTAGGACACGTTGGAACTTCTCCTGCAGCAAGTGGTCAGCTTACTTATCACTGTTTCCCTAGACAATAAAAAGGAGACAATCATTCCTCCAGGGCAGAGAGGCCATGGGCAAGAGCGCCCCCCCACTGCAGCCCCGCCCCATCTGCACCACCAGGGGGCTGGTGGGGGCTGCATTTCTCCCACATTCTGAATGACAAATAAGCAGCCGCCGTGACAGGTTCTACCCTAAGGTATTTGTTGTGACTGAGTGGAAAGAACATGGGCTTTGGAATCCAACAGCAGAGGGCCCTCTAGAGCAACTTAACATTTGGGCAAGGACTTTTTCACATATGACTCTAACAGGACCACGCCGGTCCGCCGCCCTGAAGCCTGCCCGATGGTGGCTCACGGGGACGGACATCACATGCCCTTCCCGGCCCAGACCTTCTGCTGTCCCATTCTGCATTTTGGGTGTGAAGGGCCACAGTCAGTACTTTTTTTTTTGTTTGTTTTTTGAGACAGTGTCTCACTCTGTTGCCCAGGCTGGAGTACAGTGGTGCGATCTTGGCTCACTGCAACCTCCACAGTTGGTACTTTCTGACCACCTCTCTCACTGGCCTGTGGCTCAGCTGGCAAATGACAGTGGCAGCAGAGAACACCTGCGCTGGCCAGCTCCTGCCCCCAGGCCAGAGCCACTAACACTGACGCCTGATGTGAAAATCTGCTTGACAGTCACATGGCAAGTCCTCTCACCCAGCGAAGTGGGGCAAAAGGATGGCATCATAGCTGGTACATAGCAGGCGCCTAATAAACTCTTGCTTTTATGACGTGGGGAGGGCAGCGGGGCCAGCTGCTCAGTGGGAAAAGGCACCCATGGAAGATGCCGTTTAATGTTCTACCCAACGTTGGACACAGAGGACCATGGTCCTAGAAGACACAGGCACGTCGACGTGCGAGGGCCTCAGGCATGGTCAGACGGAAAAGAAGGCGTTTAAAAACCACAACGCTGGGGGCTGCTTCCAGAGAGTTTTGAACCAAGAACTTGAGACCTTTGCTGTTGCAGGGCTCAAAAACAAGTAAGCAAATAAGTAAATGAAACCCCGCAAAACTGAGTCAAGATGAGCTATGGGAGGCGTGCATCCACCCAGCCCACCTCGCCCTGCACCCACTCACCTCCTCTCCTTCTTGTAGAGCAGGAGGGCCAGCAGGCAGCCGGTGAGTGCCACCAGCAGCAGGCTGAGCACCGCGCCGACCGCCTGGCTCCGCTCCGACAGCCCCTTGTGCACCTGCTCGTCGTCCCCAGGATTCTCGCTGTCAAAGCCCACCCTGCAAGGATGTCACAGAAAAGGAGCCGTGTCACAGAGTGGTCCTGCCGCCACGGCCACAACCTGAGACCTGAGTCCCCAAGACAAGAGCAGCTCTGACTTTCCCAACCCCATGTGATTCTTACTCCTGCCCAGAAAACAAGGCCACAGGGCCCACTCCACATGGAAAAGGGCTGCAAAAAGTTCCTGATGATGAGTTTGGGGCAGGGTTGTCAGAAAACAGACAAGAAAGCACTGCTTCCAGCTCCATGAACTGTCATTCACCCAAACACAGAGGAGACAGGCGGGAGGGACGCGGCCCCTCTAGGTGGCCCAACCCACAGCAGGACCAGGCTGGGGCAGAGGCTGTCCCAAAGCACCACCCTTCTCTCCAGGGTCAAAGCTGTCCTCTTGGAATTTCTTCTGGAAGCAGTGAGCACAGCCCACCATGAGATACCATCTCCACAGGTAAAGGGCCTGGGGGCCTTAGAAACAGGCCAGAACAGGGTCCAGCGGTGGCCACCGATCAGGGTGGGGCCCAGGGAACAGCCACAGCCCAGCATAGCCCCCGACACGTCTCCTCTCTCCAAGCCTGCTCCATCCCAGGAGAAGGCTCTCGGAGCACACCAGCTGCCTCACCAACGGTGTTCACCATTCCCACCCAAGACCCACAGGCACACTTGTGGGAAAAAGCAGTGCATTTCCACGACATCAAACACTCAAGCAGAGTCAGGACAATAATAATAGAAAATGAGAAACAACCACAGGGACTTCCCTTCGCGCTTGCGCTCAGAGAGCCACATGACACTCAAGAGTATAACAACTTGACACTTCTAATCTCTCTGGCCTTCTGTCACTCGGGGCCACACACACAGGAACAGGATCACATAAACAGCAATTCCTCTTGTGCTGCCCGAGATAACAGGCAACCCCAGCGAGGCTCATCCAGCGCTGCTGAAGATGCCGGCTGCTCAAAAAACTGAGTTTGAGGGCAACAGGCCAACCTGCCGGCGCGGCCGCAAGGGCTGCAGCTCTCAGTCTAAGTTCAGCTTAAGCCAAACAATCCAAAACATCAGCTAGACAAGAAACCACAGGGAGAGCCTGGCGTCCAGTTCTAGGCAAAAGCACCATCACGCTCCACAGACAGGTCTGAGAGCTCTGCAGACATCTCCCTCCAAGCCAGAAACCCACTCACCCAGAAGCAGCTCCCGCCACTCAGGACCCCTCGAAATGCATCCAAGAGACACATTATCACTCGGTTCTGAGCGTATTTTACTTTCTGCCTTTGATTTCTTCTTTGGACCATGGATTATTCAGAAGTGGATTTTAGTCTTCAAATGTATTTCTAGTTTTCAGTTGTTTGTTCTTGGTTCCTAACTTAAGTGCATCATGTATGTGGTTAATTGCATCAGTCAGAAATTCACTGACTTCGGTCGAGCACAATGGCTCAGGCCTGTAATCCCAGCACTTTGGGAGGCTGAGGCAGGTGGATCACCTGATGTCAGGAGTTTGAGACAAGTCTGGCCAACATGGTGAAACCCCATCTCTACTAAAAATACAAAAATTAGCCAGCAGGTAGTGGCACAGACCCATAATCTCAGCTACTCAGGAGGCTGAGGCATGAGAATCACTTGAACCTGGGAAGCAGAAGTTGCAGGGAGCCAAGATTGCGCCACTGCACTCCAGCCTGGGGAAAAGAGCAAGTCTCTGTCTCAAAAAAAAAAAGGGAAATTGCTGATTTGCCTGCTTCGTGGTTAATTTTTGATAAAGTTTTCTAAGTGTTTGATGTGAGCTTGGGAAAACAGCGTTCTCCCGCTGCAGGGAACAGTGTTCTACGCACGTCTATTAAATCTTGCTTTTCACTGCGCTGTCTCAATCTTCCAAAAAAGCTTTACTCTTTGTCTACTTAACCCAGCAATCACTAAGCGAGGGGGATTTGTCATTGTTTCTTGTGTGTGGTTTTGTCAATTTCTGCTGTACGGATCGGGGCTTTTTTATCAGGTAGACGGAAGTTTAGGATTCTTGTATCTTCCTAGGAAATGAGCCCTTTTAAAATATAATGACTCTCTTTATCCCTAATATTTGTCTTTAATATCTATTTTATCTTATATTAACATAACTACTGCAGCTTTCTTTCAGATTATTTTCTGGAGTATCTTTTCTTATCCTTTGACTTTGGTCTTTTCTGTATCCTTGTTTTAGGCATGTTCCCCGTAAACAGAGTTGTTTCTGAAATCCAATTTGACAACTTGTTTTTTAACTGACAAGTTTAGTCAAGCTATACTTAACGATTATAGATATATTTAGATTTATTTCTACCATATTAGGCTGAACTTTCTAGTTGTCTGATTTCTGTTTTGTTTTTCTCCTTGTCTTCTTTGGGGATATAAGTATTTTTACTTCTCCTTTTCTTCTCCACTGCTTTGAAAGTTACACACTATATTTATATTATTTTAGTGGTTATTCTTGAAATACTGGCATGCATACTAAGACAGGAAGTCTAACAGTATGTCTTCCAAACAATTAGGGACTCTACCTTTTCTCCCTTCCTTCCTTTCTTTCAAGAAAATGGTTTTACTTTCATACGATGCTATCACTGTAAGACATGTTAAAAGCCGGGAACTCTGTCACCCCTCTCAGCTCAGACACCACTGTGTTCAGTACACTGTGTCCTCACAGGGTCGCTGACAGGTTCCTTGAAACTGCAACCTTCTGTGAAGCGACTATAGGAGGTCCTTGAATAACATCATTTCCTTCAAAACTGTCTGATTATAAAGTTGATGAGGAAAAAAAATTGGTTTCACTATACATCGTTTCATGTAAAGTTGTAGTTTCCAAGAACTTATCGATGATATAAAGTGAGGACTTCAAGTATTTTAATCTTTCTTGAATTATTTTCTAATACAACAAATTAGCTTCCCCTGAAGCTTTTACAGTCTTTTCTTTGTATCTGCTCTCCTGGTATTTCATAAGTGGGTGGGTCTTGTCATCATTACCTGTGCTGGGCACATAGCATGCCCCTTCCATCTGTAGATGCCTGTCTTTTAACTTTGTGTAAGTTTTTTGACTTTAATCAAATATTGTGAAAGAACCATTTTTGGAAAGTAGGAGGAAGGTGTAAGAGAGTTCTATCTTCATCTACTATTGCAGGAAGTCAATAGATGAGATAAAGGATGTTAATTTAAAATACTGAGGTAAATTCCAGAAGAAATAGCTAAAAGAACTAAAAATGGTCATCTATTAGGGTGATCATTGCTACCTGTTTGTTACAGTTACATGATTTTTTTTTTTTCCCTGAGATCTAGTCTTGCTCTGTCACACAGGCTAGAGTGCAGTGACGCCATCTCGTGGTGTGCGTGCCACCACGCCTGGCTAATTTTTGTATTTTTAGTGGAGACAGGGTTTCACCATGTTGCCCAGGCTGGTCTAGAACCCCTGACCTCAAGTGATCTGCCCACCTTAGCCTCCCAAAATGTTGGGATTATAAGCGTGAGCCACATCTGGCCATACTTACATGATTTTACAATGTACAACACTGATAACATTTGGGGAAGAAAAAAATCTCAGGCACTATTCCACATTCACCCCCCGCTGGTACCTGCATCCCTCAAAATCTACCATCTGAGTTTTTGCTCTTGGTTTCAACTTCTCTTTCTTTTTTTGAAAGTCCTTATTACTTTGTCAGTGTGCTAAGGGATTTAAATAACTCCCATTCCTGATGTTCTGAACATCATGAAACTGAGGTTTCCTGGAGAATCTTCCTCTCTGGTTTTAGAGTCAAACACCAGAGCCCTATAAACGGTGCTCTTCCCACTCACAGAAGTCCAACTCTAAACATTCAGCACGGACAGGATCCCAGCCTGGGCTGGTCCCTCAAACCCACACAGAAGACCAGCTGCCATGTCAGGAGGCAGGATTCACCTCATGGCAGTTGCAGCCTCTCAATGACAGAGAACGCAGGGAAAGTTCACTGCTGGGTTTTATCTTTTATGAAAATTCACATTTCGCTTCTTTCAGGAAGAACTTCCAGTCTTAATCCTTTCATTTTGTAATGACCTCACCGAAACACCATAAACATTCAAAAGCTGAAAATACCACAAGTGAAATTTCAACCAAAATTTCAACCAAAAGCACAATCCTGACTGTGCAGCTAAGGATCCCTAAGTACACAGCCCTGAACAGCGCAGGACAAAGCTAGTTTTGCTGAGCTCATGTCCATTATTAAGGGTGGGCGGGGGGAGTGCTGATTTAAGATGTAAAATGTTTGATCTTCATTCCCCCATGACCCCTACCCCTGTCGTCTGCTGACTCTACGGTCCCTTTTACAGGGCACGAAGGAAACAATTACATGGAAAGAATTCATGTCCCCCCGATCTTAAAGTCTCAAGGCAGAGAATGAAAAGCTTATGTAAAATGGTGGGCCAGACCAGGCATGGCGGCTCATGCTTGTAATGCCAGCACTTTCGGAGGCCGACGCAGGCAGATTATCTGAGGTCAGGAGTTCAAGACCAGATTATCTGGCCAACATGGTGAAACACCATCTCTACTAAAAATACAAAAATTAGCAGGGCATAATGGCGCATGCCTGTAATCCCAGCTACTCAGGAGGCTGAGGCAGAGGTTGCAGCAAGCTGAGACCACACCACTGCACTCCAGCCTGGGTGACAGAGCAAGACTCTGTCTCAAAAAAATTAAAAATAAAAATAAATAAAATGGTGGGCGGGGTGACATAAGACAATAACTCCAAGAGGAAAGCAACTGACAACATGTTATTCGTGGCAAAGTATAAAACGGCTGTGAGACACAAGACAGCCAATGGAGGTGCCACCTTCCTTCAGAGCAGAAACTGCTGCCTCTGTACCCATGCTGATTCTCCAAATCTGCAGAGTAAGCTTTCCATTCATTCAAACATAAATATACGACACTCAAATCAAAGTGAAACTTTACCATACAATCATTTGTATTAGGACACAAACGATGTTCCAGGATTACAAGGAGGAGACACCACCAGTATCTGCCTCCCAGGAGCTAAGGAAAGGGAGGCAGCAATGGGAAAGGGGTGGAGGGACAGAGCTGGGGCGCCCTGACTGGACCCTATTCGGGGCACAGTATGCACGAAGGAAACAACGGCACTGCTACTGGGGGTGGTGGGAGGTGACGCAGCCATGGACCAAAAATGAGTGGCAGGATGCTGACAAGCTCTAGAGCGGGGCACTGACTATGTGGGGTCTGCTTCTACCATTTTCTCTATTTTTTGGTGCATGTTCTGAATATTTCACAAGAAAACATTGGGGAAAAAACACACATACACTTATTCTCAAGGGAGGATGTGGGGTACAAATGCTAAGCGTCCGGATGTCATACTCACCCCAGAGGACACACTGCTGAGGTGTACCAAGAGAAGAGGTACTGGCAGTCAGCAGTCTCGTGACTGAACTCGGGGATCCCGTCCTCCACCAGAGGGTCACAGTGGAAGAAGATGGTGGAAGAAACAGACTTGGTCTTATCCTTTCCGCATTTAGAGGAAGAGGCAAACACGACATCAAGATCGCCGTCTGTCAAACAGGAAGGGCACACGTGGCATGTCACCATCAATTTTCACAAGCAGACTGAGCTTAGCTCCTTACAGTCTAAAAAGTTTGCAAAGACTTAAAATCAGGCAAAAGAGACTTCACCCCATGTCCCCCACATCCACTCTGTTCACAGCTTACGAGGCCACTCGATGCATATTGATAGCGCCCTGCCCGTACTCAGTGTGCAGTAAAGAATTTTTGCTTTGTTTTGACCATGAGTATTTATTGATGGACTGAAGATACAATTTTAATGGAACAATAAGGCACAACCGTGGATTGAAACCGTCTGCTGTGCAGCCAAAAGAAGGGAAAGGCTGTAATTTTAATTATGCAAATATGCAAATCAAGGAGTCTCTGAAGTATCTAACAGATCAGTATCAGATATTCTTCTCTTTCTATATAATTCCTATTTACATCACTCGATCATCAAAGTCCAACTGGTACTTCATAAAGAATTCCTCATTCATTTATATTTGAGCCATCCAGCCTGGCTACTCCCCTGTTCTCCACCCTTTTCCATCATTTTGCAGTGGTATTTTTAAACAATCCCCTTCCTAAAGACTGCTGTACACATCTCCAATAGTTTTGCAAAGCAAGGAAACAAGCAAGCAAGCAATGAGTCAAGAAAGTCAGCCAATGGCAGATATGTGAATGAACAGACTCACAGAGACATACATTAGGATGGCAACAGCCTGAACCACTGAAGTCTAAACTAAGCTGACTTTGGCAAGAAAAGCTGCTGTGACTTGCTCAAAGACTTGGAATGCCACCTTTGGTTGTGCTACTCGTGCCAGACCTCTTGTTTCTAAGGGATCAACAGTGGTCTACACAAGGAGCTGGGAAACCAATGTAACCAGGGAGCTAATGACACAACAGTCAATGCTTTGGACTTGTATCAGGAGCAGACTATGGCTTCCAGCATTAACATTTGACAAGTGTAAAATTCATAAATAATTTTGTGCGAAACTTCAAGACACAGAGAACAATCTTTAAATATTTTGGACTGGGATAAGTTAGGCACTTCCGTAATACTAATCTTTCTAACTTGGAAACGTCAAGTGAAAAGCATTCCAGTGCACAAAACACTGAGGCATAAGCCATGCAGCAGAGGTGTGAATGCAGGAGGCTTTACAGGGTGCGCAGCCTCCTTGTTCAAAAGGCCATGAGGAAGTCCCCAAGCATATTGTCAGAGCAGCTGTTCTGGTGGTAATGGTGCCCCAAGACTAAGCAAACCTGCAGGCATATTGCTACTTTTTGAATAGTCAACACTGCACTAACAAGAGACGCCACATGGGTACAAAGTTGAGAATCAGATGCCAGAAGTAGAGTGATGTGGACAAGCAACCCAGAAGGCTTGACTCCACTCCTCTCTCCAAGGCCACCTTTCATGAATATCTCCACCCAGCAGCCCTCTGATGACAGAGCACAGTGCAGAGGATGATCTCATACTCCTGACAGAAGTGTTGGTTACCAAAAGGCTCCTGGGGAGGCAACATTCCAGGGGCCCATTTAATAACGAAGGTAGATAAAAACTGCCAGACCACTGAACTATCGTGCCAAGTCAGAAATACAATACCAGGCATAGCTTGGGGTGCCAAGTAGAACAGAGGAGATTCTGAGGCTTCACGAAAAGCAGAAAGACTGCATGACTAGGTGAACCGTATGTTGAACGTACACATAAGTGGGAAGCGAAGGACATATAAAAAGGATGGAGAAGCATGCTGGCAGACTCGCTGCGGGGAAGGCAGCAGGTGCAGCCTACATCCAGTGGAAGAGCTTTGCTGGCCTGTTCCTCGGCATGATTTCCTATCTTACTTTCTCAGACTGGATGGATGTGTGGCTTTCAGCAGCAGAACAGAGGAAGACAATATTTATAAGTGAAGAACTGGTGAATAGATACTGAGCAGAAACAGACTGGGTGTACCATTCTGTAATGCCCTGTTTATAGACCAAAGGCAGGTTTGTGTTGACAGAACATATTTGGAGTTGTCATGCAACAGCAGTGGTACTTTGGGAGAAGGGGAATGATGGGGTGGAGGTAGGGCTGGTGGACAGGACGACTGTCAAGTTCCAGTTCTTAAATACTAGACCGCAAGGAATAGTTTGCTGTCTGTCCTTTAGTGAAGAAATCGGATGCTCGTTTTCTGTTCTACATCTACCTTGTCCAAAACCTTAGCAAAGTCTGTGATAAAGATATGGCACTGTCCCCACGCTGATCAGCCTCCTGAATGGTCCTGTCTGCGATGCTGCCCAGCTGCTCATCGGAGATATGTACTCGGACCATCATGCATAGCACCTTTAACATCATCACGAGATCTTGTTATCTTTATCCAAATCATATAGTCGAAAAGCAAAGTGCAGTTTGTTGCTTCGGCTGTTGAGTGGTTCAGGTCCGTTCACATCTTTGCTCTTTTCATTATCCTCAATGGTTCGGAAATGAGCCAAAGTTTGCAGGAATCCACGGAAGTTTACCTGGTCCTCTCCCTCTGGAAAGAAGGCATTGATGATCCAGTTCCCTACTGGGTTGATCGCAAGTTCTGGAATCCCCTGGAAATCGTCTTGTTCTCTCCTTTGTCCAGGTTGCTGAACCGCCTGCACAGGCGAGTGATCTGACGGTGGGAAAGGCCAGTCCCCTTCTCGATCTCCTCAAGCTCTTCACTGCGCAGTAAGGTGGAGGCCTGAGACCCCACCACTGTGCCAGGAGCTCCTCCAGGGCAATGGTGCCAGAAGCAACGGTGATAGGAGGGAAGGCAAGAATTTAACCTTGCCCAAAAAGAGGACTGGCCTTGATCCTCGGCTAATGATAGGATACGGAGCAGGGGCTGGCCATGCAGTACCTGAGCAATCAACCGACCAATCCTGCTCATGTCAGAGCCCCGGGAAAAACTCTGGACACCAAGGCTCGGGAGAGCACCTCCGGCTGGCGATACTCCATGTGCACTGACTGCCACACGTGGGTGCTGGGAACACAACACATCTGATTCCACGGGAGAGCTGGTGGGAACTCTGCGTTCGATTCCCTCCTGGACTCTGCCCTGTGTGCATCTTGGTTGATTTTAACCTATATCCTTTTGCTGCAGTAAATCGTAACTATGAGCGTAACCGCTTCCAGGGAGCTCTGTGAGTCACAGTGAAAGGGCGAATCTGAAGTTGGCCTGGGAACCGTTCAGTGTGCTGTTGGTGTCAGAAGTGAGGAACCCTCGTGTGGACTCCTTGCATGAACTCTGCTGCTCCCAACCTTTGTCATTGGCTCAAAATCTTTGTGGCTGGCGCTGCTGGGTGCCAGGAATGTAGAGGCGAGAGTGCAGGGTATGAGACGGACGTGTCCATACACAGATGGGGACCAGAGACAGGCGGTGCAGGGGAGGGCCCCCCACTCTCGCCTTGGAGTAGCTGAAGCAGGGGCTGCCGAATGGACTGCTCTGCAGGGCTGGTGTGGGGGAGCAAACCGCCCAGCAGCTCCACGTCCTGAGGAGAGACAGCTGCTGCCCTCCCGAAGGAATGGCAATCCTCAGGAAGAGGCAGACATTTCATTTCTTCATGAAAGATGAAAAGAGGTCTTAAAACTAAAGCTACTTTCTGGGGCTGGTGAATGAAGAAAGTGAAAAGGTCTGAAAGGGATTTTATCTACCAAGAATGACTAAATGCGCATGCACAAGCACTCGGAAAGTCGGTGATCCTCAAAGGTCTGCTAGACACACCCTTTGTGAACACGGAAGTTCTTATGTGTAAGCAGACAAGTGGCCAGTGCTGCGCAGTGGAGCCTGAAGACTCCTGCAGACACACCAGGCGGCGTCACCCTGCTATGAGAAGGTGGGCCTTCCCAGGAGGGGCACGGGAGGTAGGTTTGGATGGATGAGGAAGGTGGACCGAGGCATTCCAGCGCCAAGAGCAACAGGTGTAAACCCACCAGGTTACAGGGTGACTTTGGGAGCTGGTGAACAAACTGATAGCTGAGGCATGTGTGGGAGCAGCAGCTTGCAAGGCTGCCCTGGTACGCAAAGCCTCTCAGACATCTTCCAGCTGTGTCAGAGAGAGCCTGGACTTTCCTTCTCTGCATGATAGGACCCCCTGAAAGCTTTTGAAACAACCTTCAACAATTCTTCCTTCCTTCCTTTAATCAACATTTACCAAGCACTGGGAAAGAGGACAGCAAGAGAAGGCACAACCTGTGACATGCAACATCTGATTCTGAATGACTGGAGGATTCACCGAAGCGTGAGGAAGCAGAGAACAGAGGAACACAGAGTGCTTGCTCCGAGCTGTGGAATTCTGCAAGCGAATGAGGCTGATCAAGTTTCCCATCATCAACCCGCCCAGAAAGCAGAACATTCACTTTCCCAGTTCTATTCAGGGGCCACAGGTGCTATGAGATGCACCGGGGTGCTGTCTACGATCTGTGACCAGGAGCAGCGATGCTGACCCCAGCTTCCCTCCATCAGGTCCTGCCGTCGTGGAGATGCGCTCAGCACCAGGGCACAGGGCACCCGCTCCTTCTCAGGGATGCGCTCAGCACCAGGGCACGGGGCACCCGCTCCTTCTCGGGGATGCGCTCAGCACCAGGGCACGGGGCACCCGCTCCTTCTTGGCTATTACTACTCTCCCTTCCCAGGGGACCCGATCGGCAGCTCTTTGACATCACAGCAGGCTGGGGTTTTCTTTAAACACACTTGATTTTTTTTTTAAGAGTTATTACATCCACACACAGTTCAAAAATCAAATTATGAGAGGTATATAGTTAAGACTATCTATTCAAAACAAAAGCAGCCTTTCAGGATTATTTGAGGGAACGAAGGGCAACACCCTTATTAGTGCCAGTACAAAACCTTCCTTCATACCCTGGATTCTGCCCTCTGTGCGTCCTGGTTGATTTTAACCTACATCCTAACACTTAGGGCAGCTTCCTTTCATCCTTCTTACAAATATAAAATCTCTTACCTTCTCAAATATTATTTGGCATTCCAAAATAAGGAAGTGTCATGGCTAAAACCAAATCAAAGGTAATTCTGACTGTGCCCAGCTCAGCCTCCACCTGACCTCAGAACCACTGGATCAGACCAGGTTTTCGTTTTTTTGTACATTCATTTGTTAACTAAGACACAATTTACCTACAGTGAAATGCTCAGGTCTGACACGTGTCGTTCGATCCATTTTGACAAAATTCGTAACAAAGCAAAGAATTAGACCATGGTTTTTGTTTTAAAAGTGGTCCGCGATTTCAACCGAAGGGGGTTAGTTGAAAACGTTAATCCCCTTCCTCGGAGGAAGTTAACGGGGACCCTGTGTGGGAAGCCGCGGATTACCTTGTAGGTAGTACTTGGTCTTGTCAGAGGTGCCGACTTTCCGGCTGAAGTGCTGATCGTCGGGCTTCACCTGGCAGATGTTGGCTCCAGAGCACGCCGGGTTTCTGGAGCTCGTGATGGAGGAAAGCTGGATCTCATACAGGTAGTTGTCCCCATTGGTCCTCATGTCCCCAGAGGCTCTGAACAGCCTGAAGAGACAGAAAAGACCAGAGTGACGTGGAAGTCCTTCAAGAAGGCATTCACGACATAAACCCTCAGTCCTCAGAATCGCTGCAGGACCCCACAATGCTTCCTTTCCTGCACTAGGGCAGCAGGTCTGTGACCCCACAGAGATTCTGAGGATGCCAGTTTCCATCTCAAGAGGCTCTCCCCAGCCAGTTCTGCCCTCTGAGTGCTAATCCACCTTCCTCAGGTGCTGTGTCCAGCACCACATGGCCCTCGCCCTGTCTGTGCACCTCGGCCACCGGCCCCCCAGAGCAGCCCCAGTACCACCGCTGAGAAACTTATTTTCCAAACACTGGTAAGCCCAGAAGATTCCTGCTTAAACATGTCAGAAGGCTTCAGCCTCAACCCCTGAGCTTATCATGAAGTGAGGGAGGAGGAGGGGGGATTTATTTTTACACTCACGAGAATTCACCATCTTTGGTGTTAAAACTTAATGGTTGAGTAATGCTTTTCCTCAGTTTAAGCAAAAGATGACGACGACTCCAGCAACAGTAACTAAAACACAGACCTATTTATCCTGCAGCGCTCCCTGATAGGGAAAGAGCTGCATTGCTGGTTTAATTTTGAACACATTTCATAGCTCAAAAGGAAAACGTTTTACTTACTTAAAATAAATATCTCCGAGGCTGAAGCTCTTGCCATTTATAGGGTTGGTGATGGTCCCATTCACCATCTGCACCTCCTGAGGCTTCACGGCGCAGGCAGCCCGGGAGTCCCAGCTGAAGTAGTAAGTGCAGCTGTCGATATCAAACCTAGGAGGAGGGAAGCACAGACTACAGTCACCTCCCCAGCCAGACACGAGGGAAGACTGCAAAACAGTGAACACCGCGCAGGCCCTGAAGCAGCTCACTGGCTTTCAGTCAAGGTGCTGCAAGACTTGGGCTGCGTCCCGAGGCCCCTACTCCCCGGACTGCGCAGGTCTACGCAGAACTTCCTGACTCAACACTGACAGCAGCTCGGAGCAAGGATGGTTATTTCACTCACTTCTTTTCATCACCACAATGGATAGGGAAGATGACTGTGGTGCACACATCAGTAATGTGACAAAGCATGCAAGCATTCAATATAAATTCTTTAAAATTTGTAAACCATCAACATTGAAAACCTGGAAAAATTTGCTCCTAGATTTTTAGATTTTTAAGCTTCTCGGACTCATACATTCCTAAATCCCTTGGCAATTTCTGAGTCTCCCCTTCTCCAAACTGAACGTCTGGAAGGAATCAGTTCTGTTCACACACAGCAGCTCACATGCACCCTCTGTTGGCCAAGCTCTCCCTTGCACCAGATGCAATGTGGCCTGGAAAACCTGAACATAATCCAAGCACATCCCAGGTCCAGACGCCAGTCCCAGCTGCTTGAGGGTACCAGCCAGGCTGCTTGAACACCTTGGGTGGGACAAATCAACGCCCCTTTGTTCCTACTATGACATTCAAAGGTGGAGGCCAGTTAAATATTGCTCAGCCAGTGCTAAACCTAGTTCAAGAGACAAGCTAGCCCAGAGAAGTTGCACTGGTCTTGCAACAGTGTCTCAGCACTGTATCCGGGGGTCTTCCCTGCCTGGAGCAGCCCTGCCCAATACAGCACAATCAATGGCTCTGGCCCTGACCTCCTAACACTCGGCCAAAACCCGCCCGTGAAAACCCCAAGGAGGAATTCCTCCAGTGTGCTCACTGCACAGTCCCGCACTGAGCCCCCAGTCTCCTGACCTCTTGAATGCAGGTCTGCCCACCGTCTTTGTACAGGTCAATTCTATCACGGAGGATGCGGTCTTATTTCCACCACATGGATAACCTCTGGAGTACATGACAACCACCTTGTCACCTGAAACACACAAACGATTGAACTGACATTATTTCTAGCACATTATAAAAAGCCTCAGGCAGGCGCGGTGGCTCACACCTGTCAATTCCAACACTTTGGGAGGCCAAGGCGGGCAGATCACTTGAGATCAGGAGTTCGAGACCAGCCTGACCAACATGGTGAAACCCCATGAATACAAAAATTATTCGGGCACAGTGGCAGGTGCCTGTAATCCCAGTTACTCGGGAGGCCGAGGCAGGAGAACTGCTTGAACTCAGGAGGCAGAGGTTACAGTGAGCCAAGATCGAGATAGCACCATTGCACTCCAGCCCGGGCAACAAGAGCAAAACTCCATCTCAAAAACAACAAAAAAACAAACAAACGAAGCTTCAAAGTTGGGAGTAAAAATCTGGTTTAAAGGCCAGGAAAAAACAAAGTTTTGGCTCCCTAAAGGTTTATCGACCTGTTCTTGCATTCTCATGCTCAGGGGTGGCCACCTGGCCCATCGCACAATTGCCACAGCCCAAGTCCTGGGGTCAAACCCAAACCCTCCCACTCCCGCACTTTGTGGCCCTGGGTTGCTAAGCTTCTGAGCCTCGAGGGCCTTCCCTGCAGAACAGGCCACGGTCCAAAGCGGGCAAGTCTCAGGCATGTATAGAAAGCGCCCGACAAACTCATGTGAACAGTGGGACCCTGGGTAATGGCAGCCTTCATTATTGCTCCAACTGTGTAAAATTTCTGTATCCTATTAGGTGCTTTCCTGACAGGTACCCTCATGTGAGCCTCCCAATAATAACACAGCAGGGAACAGAAAAAGTGAAAAGCCAGAAACAGAGACCAACTGTGGTTTTCTAGGGTCTTCTAGTTTTAAGTCAAGCACTGTCTTTTAAAAGTGACCCGTTAAAAGAAAAGCCTGAACCTCGAACCTGCAGGGTCTGAGAGAAAAGCGAGTATATGCTTTAAGCTGCAAGTATCACTGCGGCAGCGTGGCCGCCAGGTTCCAACTCTTAAGCCACCGCCAAGAGGCTGCTCGTGGCTGCCCAGGGGGCTGTTCTGGAAATGGTCCAGGCCCAGCCTGGCTGCATGGACAGACGATGTCTCCAGGGCATGGCGCGGGGTGTCCAGGGCAAGCATGTGCCTTCCATCCTGATCACACACACACAGGTTCTTCCAGGCAGGGGCACGCGGTGGAGGTAACACGGGCACAGTGCCCACTTCCCGAGTGTTTTCCACAGGACACAGGCTGAGGTGCTGGGGGGCTGCCGGATGGTGAGGTAGGAGGTGGGACTCTGGGCTCTTAGCCCCGCCCCAAATTCAAAGCTGCTTCAGCTGAATTTGTTTTAAATACTGGGCTTCTGTGTAAAATTTTGGAAGAAAGAATTCCACTATTTTGCAGAAAATGTTTAAAACTTCCGGCATATGGGATCAAACAAGCAACGACTTCAGGAGTGTCAACAGCCCATACCGATTGGGCAGGAGGCTCAACCTCCCCGCCTCAGGGGCCCAGTGTGTGGAACGGATGACGACACTGCCCCATGGAGCGCATGCGGATTAAACATATATTAAGCGCAGCTGCTTGAGACATGCTGGTTCCGGAAACAAAAAGTCTACCTCCCACCCCCACAGGGTGGGGTCCGTTCCCTAAGAGGACAATGGGGGCACCGTGGCTGTCCGCAGATGCTGCCCTGTTGGCACCAAAGACTAAGAGCTCACTGGGTGCGTCAGACACCAGATTACTTCTCGTTCCAGTCAGCAGTGCTCAGGATGCCAAATGCCAGCCCCAGGAGAAAGCGAGAGCTCTTCCCGCCTGGCGAGGCCTGACTTGCAAAATGGTGCTCCCCAAATGGAGGTGGCCTGCAGGTCACCGCTGAGAAGTCAGACGATCTAGTTCCATGTCACTCTCTGTGTTCACTACTCTCTTTTGCTCCTTCTGCCTCAAGCTTTTAGTGAAGCCTTAAGTGTTTTAGTGATTGCAGTTGGCTGACATTGGGGAAAGACCAGTCGAATACCCGTATGTACTGCGACATGACAGGGGAGAGAGCCGCTCTCCACTACCTTCCCTCCTTCCCCCTCTGGGGCAGTGTGGGAGTGACAGCGATCACTGACCTCCAAAACGGTTAGGAGCCTCCCGGGGAGGGCGGGTCTCAGGCTGGCGGTCTGGGCGCCACTTCCTGTATATACGGCAGCTCTCCCTCCACTACCAACCTGCAGAGTCTGCGTGTGACTTTTATCAAGGGTGACAGTACTTTTCTCGGAATTCTCTTTCTCCATCTCAACATCTCAAGCTAATCTGAAGTAGTCCTGTAGCTGAATCAGGACAACTCAGGAAACCCCACTCCAGCGTAAGAGGCAAAGGTGAGTATTTTCCTTTACTGGTCCCTCCAACAAATCCTAATTGCTCTTAAGCTAAGAAACCTCTATTTTCCGCCTTTAAATAATGAAAGAAAACATCTTTCATTCACCAACCAACTACAAGATCAATTTCCCATTAAAAAGTATCGTTATTATCTTCAAAATTGTTAAGACAGTTTACCAAGATGTAGCCCTGAACTACCTGCACCAAGTCCTCATGCCATCGTCTGGCTTGCCTCAACAAACACGTGTGTCTCTGTCAGTTTAGGCACTTGATCTACAGCTAGAACATAAACTTCAGAGGAACGCTGAACATTCTGAGACCTCCCCCTGGATAGACACACTTTCCCGAGATAGCCGAACCCCTCTAAACACACAGACTGGGACCTGCAATCTCACATAATACAAAACGGCACTTATTTTAATGTTCCAGGAGAGCCAAAATGCCCGTGAGACAGTGACAGGCAATCACATCTGGAGGTTTCCACCAAAGCATATGCTCACTCTCCTTGCTATCCTGAGAACACCCTCACCTTCCCGGTTCAGATGCCACTCCTTGAACCAAGGACCAGGACCCACAGGCCTTACCTATGACGTCCAGCTTCTGCGTGTGAACGAGTCCCAGGACCTGGACGTCACCAGTTGTGCTCCTTCTGCAAATGCTGGCCCTTTCAGAGCAGCCCAGGGGTCCTTTATATATTCTCTGGCACAGATTTATATAGTACCTAGAAAACGACACAAAGGGGCAAGAAACAGGCAAGTGACGTCTCTGCCCTTGACACAGGAGGGCTCTTTGCTTTACTTTCAGAGAAAGGTTCTGATAACTAAGGGCTCCATTCCATCACTGAATGTAGCACTAAGATAGCTTTTCCAATTAAAAAAATAGGACAAAAGGAAGTCATCACTGAAGAAGGGAGCTTACCAACCAGGCACACCCGGAGTGGAATATCCACACCTGTGGTCACGCTGAACACAGCGTGGCGTGGCAGAAAGAAGGGCTCTGGGGCTGGGAGAGGCAGGGGCTGGGATCCTGGCAAGTTTCCCACCTTACTTAGAGCCACTTAAATCCTCTGAGTCCATGCCCCTGCTCCTCGGTGATGCCTTGCCAGGAGCACTGGCAAGAGGGCACTCCCCACAAAGAGTGGTCAGGACCATGGGCTGACCCCAGCCAGCAAAGCCTAAGGAGCTCCTGCCAAAGACCCAACAAAACCGACACATCTCCCACAACCTGAGCTACACACAAATGCAAATTGAGCCCGGCCTAACTCAGTGAGTCCAGGTTCTTCCAGTTCCAGAGGCTCCGTTTCCGGTCACCAAAGCTCCCGCTCCCACTCTGACCTCAGAATCACCCTCTGTGCCAGGTCTGACACTGCGGGCTGCTTCCAGGAGCAGCCACAGCTCAACCGCCATCAGCCTCACATGGGCGTGGTATTCCCATCCTTAGAACCCCAAGAGCCAACCATCATCAAGCAGTCTGACATTCATCGGCTGAGGGTGTGGTGCTGCGGGCGGATGGGAAGGCACTCACGAGACTCCGTCGTGGACCAGGGACCAGGACCCGGTGAGAGAGGAGAGCAGCCGCAGGTCGTAGGTTTTGTGTTTCTGGATGAATTTGCACTCCATCTTCTTCGGAGGGCAAACAACTTTTGTTTTCCATTCAAATGTCACATCACACCCACGCACTTCACTGAAGACTTGTGGCCTCCCAATGTCCTCATCTTCATCACACTTAAATATGATGCTGGATGTCCGGTGGCTGTTTGCTGGGGAGTAGAGGTGGGAGAACGTCAGACCAAGGCCTGCACCAGGGCACGTTCCCGCACCTCTTCCCTACGCTGCCTCAGGAGCACCTGCAGACTCCATCCGCCATCTGGCAATGCCCCACGTGCTGCCCTGGCCACATCTCATGTTGATTCACTCATGTGTATCCTGACTCCAAATAGATCCAGCTCCTTGGCACAGCCTTTCATCATACTTCTTAATAACCCCACAGCCCTAGGTAATTCCTCAGATGGGTGTTCAATATTTGACCAGTCTACTAATCACCAAAAAAATTAAGACAGCTGGGCACAATGGCTCATGCCTGTAATCCCAGCACTCTGGGAGGTCGAGGTGGGTGGATCACGAGGTCAGCAGCTCGAGACCAGCCTGACCAACATGGTGAAATCCCATCTCTACCAAAAATACAAAAAAATTAGCTGGGCAAGGTAGCGGGCGCTGTAATCCCAGCTACTTGGGAGGCTGAGGCAGGAGAATCACTTGACCTGGGCAACAAAAGCAAAACTCCATCTCAAAAAAAAAAAAAAAAAAAATTAAGATAATAATACAATACCTACAAGTACTTGAAAACACAAGTGTGATTCAGAAAATAGGGAACAATGTTTTGTCAAAATAAGCCTCAAAACAAAGCTATAGTAATCCTTTGTAAATTTAACACCTTTGGTTCCTTAATACATTCCATTATGGTCCCGGGACATTTATGAAAATTACTAATTTTTCATGCATTTCTTCCATCTCACGGTCCGTAGACACAAGTCACAGCAGTTGGCTCCTCTCATGAAACTTCCTGAGCACCACAGGGGCAAGGTGCTGAGTGTGGCTCACCAAGAAACCCCACTCCACACGTGGGCTGCCACATGGCAGAAAGTCAATCAATGAGTCGCCTGGTTTACCGGAATTCTTACTAGCTTCAGAATCCTGAAGACCCACGGCAGACATTTATTTTGCTGAGGCATAATTTGAACCACCAGGGCTAAAACCTGGTATGCGGACACAAGGCCCTCTGGCTAGTGCGTGGGCCTAGCCAGCCACCCAGCACAGTATTTCAGGGCAGCTCTACTGCGGTCTGTAGATACGGTTACCCAGCAATCTCACAGAGCGATTCAAATGTTTCTCTGTGGGAAAGAGCTCAAGTAAGAAAATATTTTATGCAAGAGAATTCCTGCCACTGACTGGCGCATCCACAAAGGTCTCAGTGTGAATCAAGCCTTGAGAGTATCAAGGCCCCAGGCCATGTGGGGATGCAGAGCCTTCCTACTCACAGTGTCTGCAGAAGCCCCACTCATGATCTCTGTCGTAGTCCGCAGTTGTGCTACACCACAGCTTTGCCCTGCTCTCTATGACACACTCCTCGTAGCTCTTCCCGTTGAATGTGAAGGGGAAGACACAGGGGATGCCTTCATCAGTTTCTAGAAAGAAGAAGAACATCTGAATAATCCACATTACCAGTGTGGCAGCTGTGCCTCACCAGGCACAGTCACCTAAGAATGCAGCAGGAGTCCCTAAGGAAGCTGCCCATCGTAAAGCACCTATGTGACAACTGGCTTTCACCCACCAAAACTCACCAGGCAACTGAGAGAACACAGCGTCATTCACGCACCAGGGTTCACACCGCGGCTGTACAGAGGAACAGCTCACATTCACGCTCAAGGTTACAGCACTCACAGGACCCTGGAGCTCCACTCCTCAGCTTCTCTCTGCTGCTATGTCTAATTTCTAGTTTACTGTGAGCTTGAAGTTTACCTCATTGCAAATATTTACCTGGAGGGCAACGATCACCATTCACATAACTTAAAACGACAGCTTCATCCTGGTGCCGGTAATCCAGTTTCATTGACTGCAGCCGTCCAAAGGATGCCCCCTTGGTGCCCGAGAGCAGACAGACTCCTCCATCCTTACAGCCTCCTTGTTCTGGCCCGGCCGCAGCGGTGCACACCCCAACGCTGTAGGTGCGTGAGTCTCGAGTCACCTGGACAAACACCACGCGTGGCCGTCAGCAGGGTGGCAGCACCCAGGTCTCAAGGTGAAGAGAGAACCATTACTGCAGCTGGTGCCAGAGGCAGGTTCACGCAGAAGAGCAGAGACTCCTCTGTGTGCATCAGAGCCACGCAATAGCCTTGGCCCTCGGTTTTCCCTGGGAGGCCTCCCCCGACCCCTAGGCCCAGCTTGCTTGCTCCTCCTGCTTCCTGCCGGGGACCTCGGCCACCCCCTCAGCCAGCCACTGCTCTGGCTGTCGTCTCGTCACAGCCCAGTGGGAAGGGACCCAGCGGGGAGCCTCAGGCTCACCCCACCTCCCTCACCTGTGTAATAAGGCGTCGTGCAGGCCAAGTGAGTGAATGAGCAGAGCCGACACTGCACGCTGAAGCGTGGACCTGACTCTCCTGGCCCACCCAGCGCCCAGAAGGCTCACACCTGCTGCAAACCTGTCGGGAGGACCTGTACCTAGGCAGAGGGCTCCATCACAGGAGCCAGGGTGTTGGCACCTGGGCCCAAAACTCCAAGCTCATCACTCACCAGCTGCTATGCCACAGCAGGTGCTGGGGTTCCATACCCCAGTCCAGGCACTGGCATGGTAACGCCTAGATATCGAGGCTTAGGGAGCTAGGGGCCCCCAGGCACCAGCGACTATGACACCACCTCAGTAAGACCAACAGCCCACGGACCTAGCATAGGCCGCTCTGGGATGGCATGGAGGCACATGCCCAAGTGCCTCTCAATTCCAAGGCACCTCCTACCTCCCTCCACCCACAGCTGCCACAATCAGCAAACAACTGCCTTGATCATCTTTAGCCAGGTTGGAAGAATTAAATCCCCGTAGATTTCAGCCACCCGAGAGCTGGCCCTGCCCCCGTGGATACCTTACATTCCTGTCTCCAGGCTGCCCCACCTGCTCTCTGTCTGATACAAAGGGTCTCACTACCCACCTCATGAGGTTACCTGATCCTCAAAAAGCCTTAAGTGCAGAGTCATGAGGTACCACGCAAGTGTCAGCTGTGCTGAGTTGGCCACACAATCCAGGAACCTTCCTGAGACCTGGCATGCCCTACGAGAGCCCCCAGATGCTGCCCAGTGGCCACACACACCCTCTCAGCTCACAGCTACCACATTATCCAAAACACTCCGGGCAGCCTCACAGCAGCTGGTATACCTGCGCCAGCACGCCCAGGGTGAACACATTACCTTAAAGGTGCTCGTGGAGAGGCTGGACAAGTTGAAGCTGTAGAGGAGCTGCTCATCCGTCAGGGCACAGCCCTCCGTCCTCACTTCATCAGGACAGACGACCGGAGTCTCCCATTCGAACACAAAGTCGCACTCGCTGGTCCTTAACAGCTTAGGCGTTCCCTATCGCCAGGAAGAGCACGGGTCTTAAAAACCCCATGGCACAGGGATAGATAGCAGTGACACACCACGCCCCTACAGGGGCTGCGCGTAACCCATAGCGGCCTCTCAGAGAGAAGGGACGCTGGACAACAGCAGCTGAAAGACCCAATGCCATCTTCAAGGCACAGACATCACCTCGCCCCTGCCCCCCACATATCCCGGGAGCTCCCTGGCTGAATCCAGGTCTCATCTCCTACTTAAGAGAGGAAGCCTCAACGTTCTCTGCTACAGGTTCAAAGGAAGAAAGGGGGAGGACTTAAATGTCACGAGAGAGGTCTGTGAAACTGACGCTCTGCCTCGCAAGTGGTCCAATCCACTGCCTCTACGCACGGGAGACATTTCTTCAAGGGGCAAGATGCCATGTGGCCAGATACTCCATAGGCCAAGTATTCTTGAATCACTTTATTTATTCCCTCCCTCATTCGACAGCAACAAAAAAAAAGATGAGGCAGCTCTCAGGAATTCCATTTGTAATTAATGTTAAGCATCTTTTTCCCTATGATTCAGCGGCAAAAGTACTTCCATTGAAAATGAAAACTGCTGGGGAGGAAAAATCTTCTAAAAATCTTTCTGGGACACCAGAAGACACATTCAGCATAAGATGCCTCATTTCTAAAATCAAGTAAACACTAATCACTCTCAATGTGCGGCTGCTGAGAATTAACTAAAATCACATTAGCTAATTTGATTTGTCAAGTTGGCAGCAGTGTCAAAGCAAGGCATAGTTCCACACTCTTTAGCTGGTGGTGTGAGATAACAGAGCATCACTCATGATGAGGTGGGTCTTAGAAGTGAAGACTGTCCTTTAAAGAATGAAGAACTTAAAGCCCCCCTCAAGGCAAAGTCCACGTTGCCCCATGCTGTGTGCATCTACAGAGGCATACAGACACCCCTATATAAATATGCAGATACACTTATAAACAGATGAAATGAGTGGACTGAATACAGTTCTGCCTTTCCTTACTAACTAGGACTGTCATTACACTCTAAGATTCATGAACAGGGACACATCCAAGGGCTCTGAGGTGTTCTGAGCCCCTATGGAATAGACCCAAACAGCAGGACTGTTTTCTTCTCCTTCTCAAATACTGTCTCTCCTACTGGCCAGACGGCTGCCAGGTCACTTTCTGTCACTGTCAGCACACCCATGTCTAACAGTCCCTTTACAAACCTGCTCCAGGCCCAAATATCATTAGGATATCTTTATCAGAATTACAAGACACCCAACAGATCCTAATCCATCAACTGAACTCCTAGGGGTCATATGAGCCTTGGAATCCATCATCTTTATTAGGATTTTAAGAGGCAATTCTCAAACCCCCAGAGCCTGTGATCAAGCATATTAATACTTCTGTAGCTAGACGTATCAATATCCACATTAGGTGGGACAAACCCACACCACGAATAGCCTCAGTCCATTCATGTCAAAGGAGCCCCAAGTTTTCAGAGCTTCACAGATTTCAGAAGCGCAGATGAGAGGCTGCGGCGCTCTGTTCCTGGGGCAAAGGGCTGTTCCCCTGTGCAACTCATTATAATGGAAGCTGGTATTCTTTTTTTAATGCACATAAAATGGAAGTCAATACCTCCTTATAAGTAAAAGGTGCCACTTTGTTGTAGTTATTCTAATTCCAGGGGTCTTTTGTTACTTGTGAACTTCTGGGCTATGTCCTGAAAGACTACAGCTGCCCAAATGTCTTTCTGACTTCCCAGTTAGAATAACATCAGTAATTGTTAAAATAAAAACAAAAGTTATGACACTTTTATGCATCAGCAGTCAAAGCTGAATGTCATTTCTATACTTGTGTTCTATGTTTTTAAATTACAGCAAGCTTCCATATGCTATTAACTGTGGGGAGCTCACTCAGCCTTCAATTAGTGGTTTAAATTATTCAGACACACTACTAGCGTACCTTCTTATCCAAGGCAGTCATTTTGAATAAGAGTATCCTTGGACCTGATATGCACTTTCTGGTTGTCTAGCCTTGGCTCACTAATCCAGTTAAGCATCTAGATCATCACAGGCCCACACTTACCATGCTCACGCCTCTCTTACAGTGAAATGCGATGAGCGAGGTGTAGTTGAAATGCTTGTCCGCTAAGCAAGGAGTACTGCTTTCAAAATTCAAGTAAATCTCATTCGCTACCGGATTGAGTATTGGTGGTCCTGCGACCCGGCCGATATCCTAAACAAAGAGCAAGGGCAAAGAGTATTTTAGGAAATTAGCCCTTCCCTAGGAGAGTGGAATTAAGAACTGATACAGAATTGCAAAAACCAGGCCTCACAGGTTCTGAGAATGAGCAGCATCTAAAGAAGCTGGGTTTATAGCAACTCCAGTTAGAAGGCTTGACAGATGCTACGTAACCTCCTTATGTCAGTGGTTATCGTTTTGATTCTAAGGTTAGTTCTAAGGTTGGTTCTATTGATAGGTATCTTCAATTTTCAAAGATCCTAAGCAACAGGAATCTCTCTCTCCAGTCACGTCAAGGATACTACAGAGTCCTCCCATCACCTGCTGAGGGAAGGTCGGAACCTGAAAAACCTCCAAGGATGCTACACAGTCCTCCCATCGCCTGACAGGGGAAGGCCAGAACCTCCATGCTGACCTGCCACCCTCACTGCCCAGTGCTGCTCTGGGACTGCCCACTGACGTGGCCCAGCAGTACCCACTGGCCATGCCCTTGGGAGAGAGGACAGGTGGTGTTCACTGTTCATTTTCATTGCTTAGCACAGCACCTGGCAACACAGTGGCTGCCCAACAGATATTTTCGAGTGAATAAGCAAATAAACGAAAGACCAGTCTGAGTATTATGAGAAAAAAAGCCTTTTTTTATTTTTAAAAAGTAAATAAAGGCGAATGGCCAGGAATGGTGGATGTGATGAATGTGTGTATCCGTGCGCGTGTGCGCACGTGGGTGTGTGTGTAAGCAGCCTCCCCATGATTTTGTTCTCAGCTACAATGCTCTTCATTCACCACTGTGGGGCATGTTCAGACCACGTGGTACCACACCTTCTCCAGTCAAAGAACTTTCTACACCTTTTAACATTTGACAGCCGGTGGCCAGGCAGATCGGACCCCTGAGGAAATGATTCCCGATCGAGGATCCCCGGTCTGCGCTGTGAGAAAGGATACTGCCAAAGAGCTTCCTGGGGAGACTCAGCTTGTCCAGGCCTCTGTCTCACACAGAGCTGGAGCTGTGCTAATTCACACTGTAGCCGATCTCCTTACTCACTCCTGACATCTCCCCATATCACTGCCACATATAATGTCCATCTTTTAAAGGGCATCCAGATATTTTACAATATATTTTACATCCTTAAAGCATAATAGATGATACAGATAGAAATACAGATGACTTGTGAGACACATTCCAGTATTAAAACATACCAAGGATTTGACAAAATATGAATATAACTCACGGAGACAATTTTTAAAGATCCAAATTTCCATTAAAACATGCTAGCAAACCGGGCACTGTGGCTCATGCCTGTAATCCCAGCACTTTAGGAGGATCACTGAAGGCCAGGAGCCTGAGGCCAGCCTCGCTGGGCGACATAGCAATACTCCCATCTCTACAAAATAATTTTTTAATGCATAAAACCAAAGCTTTCAAGGCAAAATATTTAGCTATTAGCAAACGTACTCTTGCCCTTAATTATTAACTCCTCGCCAAAGAAACTGTTTGCATTTCACACACGTTTTAACTGCAGAAGACAAGGCATTTCATACAAAGAAACCAGGCTAGGCCAATGTGCTTTCCTGTCACTTTACCTAAAAACTTCTTGATTTGGGTCAACCCTGAGGCTCATGACAGGCAGAGTCCCTACACACATATTCATGTTATCTCCCATGCTCAACGACTGGCTACCATCGTCAGCTGATAGTTCAACGTGCAAACGTTTAATCTTCCTGTAGTGGACCCAGAACACACATAGTTCCACTTACTTTCTCCATTTTTTTATGCTTGAGCAACTCTCCACTTAAGGCAAGAAACAATGCAAAGGTTATCACTAAAACTCTTGCAAAAATTATCTCCACCCTTGGATTTGTCGTACTTACTATGGGGGGACCATCAATAGGAACTTTGCACACAGCGGCTCCAGCAGGACAAGGCACTCCGTGCATGGGATTTAGTGGCTGACAAATATTGATGTAGAAATCAGGGTTGGTATCGGAGGCGTCATCCTCACTCTCATCATAAGCCTCATAACCACCCGTGCGATGAATGAGAGGAGACAAGTCAACAATAGAGCTTCCATTCCTCACGGAACATTCCGTCTGTTAAGTAGGAAAGACTGCTTTGAGTCTACAAAAAAATTTTCCTAATCACCACTAGGTCACCCATACGAATTTAAAAGCTGAATAACAACGACAAAAAAAGAAAGGTGTCAAAATGCTTCATTACATAGCACTGGGCACTTCCAGTCAACTTTATTACTGGGGCGATCAGGAGTGCACAGGTCAGCTGAGCATCTATTAGTGGGCAAATGAAGCTCATGAAAGGGCCCGGGTGCAGCTGGGCACTGGACATGCACTTCTCCCGTGCCCATTTGAAAACTCACCGCTTGCTCACAGGCCAGTGGCGTGTGCCAGGAGAAGAAGAGAGTGCACGTCTGCTTGTCCAGGGAGATAAGCATGGGCCTATTGGTTGGCCCGGCCTCAGGCCTGCACACGAAACTGATCACGCTCTTATAGGTCAGGCCGGATTTGGAGGGACAAGGGGACCCGTCCTTGTACACCAGCTGCAGGACCTGGTCCACGTATCTCAGCCTCTTGCTGGCCTTGCCCACGCTGATCCTGGTCTGTCCAAAGCAGGCCCCTGCACCACAAAGGAAAGGCAGAGAAAATACAATCACAGACTCAATGGCCAATTTTCTGATGAGAACTTTCTGCAAATCAGGACCATCAATTTCATAGCCAGCACGTGTAACTTCAAGTGTCCAATCTGGCTTTAACCATTGTTTTACATTGAATGTTCATTCCGTCACACGGCCATGTGTCCCCCACATGGGCTGACTGCTGCAGGAGACGGAAGTGTCTCAGCTTCCTGGCTCTGCTCATCCTTTTTGCCGTCGGCATGCAAAGAGGCCGAGGACAACCCCGGAGGACAGGAGAGTCAGACAGCACACGAGAGAACACAGCACTCACCCACGCCAGGAGGGCAGTTTTCATTCTCCCCACAGATGCTCATGTAGACCAGCCCCTTCTCGCTGTAAGCAGCTGTGAATCCCGCCCTTCCACTTAAGGAGGTCAGATCAAACAGGTGTCCTGAAGGGTGGAAGAAGATGGGGACACAGTGACTTCAGGGAGCTTAGATTTGGGAGGCTCATCATTGGCGAGCTCATGTGCAGATTATGCCAGCACTGGGACTTCTGACTTCTCACCACGACCCCTGTCCTAAATCCTCCCCCAACAGCCAGGCTGTATCATGAGACTGTCAGTCCCGTGATCCATGAGATGCCCCATCTTCAGCTGAAAAGATCGTGGCTCACAGCACCCTCTGCTGGGCCATACCACAGCAGCCACTAAGATTCCCGTGGGCATGGGGAGAGGCTGCCAGCGCACCTCTTGCTGCCAATGGACTGTGCCTGTGCCTTTCTGGGTGCCCAGCACAAGGGCAGGTGGGAGACTCCCGGCAATCCACTACGCTGACGCTGAAAGGCAGCCAGGGGCCAGCTCTAGCCTGCCCTGGTGAGCCTAGAGCTGCTGGGCTGACACAGTCAGTACCCCCAGCCAGGAACACCTCTCACACCAGGAGAGCGACAGGGGAGATGGATTCTCTGAGGGAACATTCTCTCCTCCACTGAAGGAGAGCCAGGAGAACACACAGCGGCCCATCCAGAGAAAGGCCAAACACACCTACACACCACGACACCTCTGCCCAGGGCGCCTGCTGCCCACAGCTTCTCCTTAGGTCTCTCCCCTGATGAGCTGGGTTTGGTGAGGGCACCGTCTCTCACCTGCGCTGGGGTTAGCGACTGGCACCTCTCACCTGTGCTTGGGTTGGTGACCTGGCAGTCGTCATGCTCGTTGTTCTGCACAGGACAGGCTGTGGCCGTGGGCCAGGCGAAGGTGTACTCACAGTCCTCCACCGCGCTGATGAACATGGGCCTGGAGTTCTACAACAAAGCACAGACAGGTCCTGAAGGGATCACGCAAAAATTGCACGTCTATCATGATTTCAACTTACAAGTGGAAGTTTCTCTGAAAAACTCCACAGCATGTGACATTTCTGTCTCCACGTGCCTGTGGGATGAGGCGCAGACTGGGAAAAGCAAAGGGTCAGAATGTGTCCTGAGCTGCCATCATGGGCTTCCCCTGCAGGTAAGTGAAACACCCATAGGCAACAACCCACTTAGGGGACCAGGAAGGTCCCTCAGGCTGAGGAACAGGACAGGGGTTGGGGACAGGCGTGCAAAGAATGCTGGAAGGGCTACCAGGAGACACAAATGTGGCAATCACTGATAAAATTCTAAAAACCAAATCAGGTAAAATCCATTATCACACTTAAAACAAAAAGATCCACCAAGAGAACTAGCCGATTCTACGCATCCTCCCACTGGCCCCAGACAAGGCTTACGCTGCTCATCCCAAAATACTTCATGTCCACCACAGAGCTGGCCTGATGAGTTCAGCAGCACCTTCCTTCCCAGGTAAACCCCATGATTCCTGCTGGGCACCCTGATAAGCCACACTGCAGTCCAGCCTCCCAGGCCCTGGCACAGGGGCCTCCACACACCCTTCACCCTTCCCTCCCAGCCACCTGGATCCTGGGCACAGGGGCCCCCACATACCACCCTCATCCTTCCCTCCCAGCCTCCTGGATCCTGGGCACGGGGGCCCCCACACACCCCCCACCCTTCCCACCCAGTCTCCTGGATCCTGGGCACAGGGGCCCCCACACACTCCCAACCCTTCCCTCCCAGCCTCCTGGGCCCTGGGCACAGGGCCCCCACACACCCCCCACCCT